ATCCATACTAAATGAATGTGAAATAGCACTGACTATCCATAGCTCATAGTTATACTGCCTTCCAATCTATATCAAGCCATTGCCTTTGGCTTTAAATTAATGGTTGAAAAAATGAGGTTTGCAAATATGTTTAACTCCATCAGAACTATAAATTTTAATAGGACATATGAAAATCAATTTTTTTTTCTCAATTTGGGTTTAAATTCTTCTAGAGGAGGGTTGGTATATTATTTAAATCAGACAGGTCTAGGAATAAATTCTAAGGTGTTACTGTAGCACAGATTATTTTTAAAAAATAATAGTACTTGGAAAAATACCTGACCCTACTTCATTCTGCAAGAAATTGACCTATATTCTGCTGTCTTACAATGTTTGTCTGTTTTTTGTATGTGCTGTTATACTTTTTTTGGTCTGGAATAGAAGGATTTGACTACTATTTCTGATTTCAAAGTAGGTGTTGATTCCAGCAATTTCCCAATAAGTCTTTTCTGAATTTAAAATCAAAACAGAATCTGGTTCAAGGATATGACTGCGAGGAAATGGTACATATTTTCTCTTTTTTACATCTGAATGCAGATAGAAAAATTTCTTTTAGAAAAAGTTACTTAAAGAAAAGATGATTTTTGTGGCAAATAGATTTCTTGCTGCTTGCTTGCTTCCTTCTTTTGCAATTACAATTAATTTTTTCAATGCAAATAATGAACCAAAAATCATACAATATGTATGATATTTTGCTAAAAATGGAACCAGTTGCCTTAGAGATTTGTAAATGTTGGAATAATATATGAGATCGTCTTTCCCAGTGCCCTGTAAGCTTAGACTTTTTCATTGAGAGATGTCAGCTAAGGTGATTATGCTGTGAGCAGACTAAGCCTTAGGATTTCACAGCAGATCTCAAACATATTTAGTAGGACTGATTAGCTCAATTTAAACTGGACTTTGGTATTTTTTTAAAAGAAGAGCACATTTATATTTTTTATAGTGTTTCTATAGAACCAGTTCAAGGTAATTAAATGGAAAAATAATGTAATAAATTCTTGGAAACAATCCCTATAAATATTGGTTTATCATTTGGCATTCTCCTCTCATTTCCACCGGATACCACTGGGATTTGTATATCCGCTTCCTTTATGTTTCTAATTAAGAAACCACGTCAGATTTGTGGAAAACCTACACAATCTGTCACTTTGACTGCTGAGGAACGGTCATGCTTCCCTGACCCCTATCCCCATCCATCTGAATAGATCCAATTTCTTTGATTTATATCAAATAGAATTTCATTGGTGGCTACTGCATAAATCTACAAAGACTTTCACATTTTGTTTCACCTAAACAATGATTGGGTGGAATGTGTCTGTCTAAAAGTGACCTTGCTCCAATATTTGAACTTTGGCTTATAACAGGAGAGAAAAGGGATTTAGTTGTTTTTACTCCCAAAGACTAAAAAAATTCATCACTGAGTTTTCCATGGTATTTGGTTCATTTAAAGTTTTTCACCCAAAATCCGACATTCTGTCATGCTTAAAATGCAATTTATTCAGAAAACAGCCTTAATAAATGTAAGAAGACTAATTCGGATAGGGTTATTGCTATTTTATAAAGCCACGTTTCTTTGTAAAAACATGCCTTCTGCCAGCACTACACAACTGACAAAGCTAAGCTGAAGTGCTTTAAACATTTGAAGACATTCAGTTAGCTTCCTTATAAATGTTGAGATGAACATTTTCTCTTCTCTGGGCTGGATTTTCAAGATGCTCAGGGCCCAGAGGCAGGAGGATTGCAGGGCTGTAACAGTGCCTTGCACTCCATCCCCACAACACATTCATAAACCAAAGCCCAAGGGCAGACACCAGTTCCAGGCTGTGCCCACTCTTTTCATGCCCCACGCTCCTGCCTGCTGGCACAAGTCCTTGGCCCTGCAGTGTGACCCGATGTTGCCTGGGCAAGTGCTGCATGGGGTGGGAGCAGCCCAACAGCTGAACAGCATGGACAGCTGCCTGCTGGAGCTTGAGCCTGACTCCTGGCCCGACTTAATTTCCCCAGGTAGAGAGTGTTTGCTTTGGGTCCCACAGAGACAGGGCTTAGGGCTGAGGAAGGAACAGAAGGGGTGATGCATCTCCTCTCCGCTGCTCCTTGGCTGCCCCCATGTCTTCTGACACTCGCATTTTGAAGTGATATGTTACATCACTTAATCATATTGTAATTGTTGGCTTAGACAAAGCATGTGGACACCCAGATTGTGGTGTGAATCTTGATGTGATGCTGCCTTAAATCCTGCCTTCGTTTGCCCTGATCTCCGGTATGTCTGTGAGAGATCTGACTGGTGAGCAAGGATGGCTTGGCTGCCCAGCACTGAGTGCCTGTGTGCACACCACTGTCACCTGCAAAGAGGAACCACACTGTGTTTCTGGAGCAGCACAGTGTCTACAGGTATCTCTATGCAAGTGAAGTAGGCTGCAGCCAGGGCTCCCCCTGCCTCAGAAAATTTTGGAGGGCCCCTTCAGCTGATGCAGGAGATGTCACAGGCTGGATATCACTCCCAGTGCACAGCCCAGAATTCGACAGTATTCACTGTATATAATAGTCACAGACAGCAAAGCATCTGAAACATTCAGTGTTTCTACCTTAGAGTTTTAGCCACTACTCACCTCACCACAGGGACCACATTTATCATCCACAGCAATAATTAGGGTTCTTTTGGAACCAAAACCCATGCTCCTTTATTCTTGCCCACCCTTCAATTGCAGAAGGAGTTGGGGTATCTGCAGAGACAACCTGCTGAACCCCAAAACAAGCCAAATCAAACTACGGCTCAGTTTAGCTTAATTACAATTTAGTCTCCTCTGGACTGATTTGAATCACACAGTAAAACCCAGCTTGCCATGAGGCATTTTTTGTGAAGCCTTCCGAAGCACTTCTTTTTGCTTCTAAAAAAGAATATTTAGGTAAATCTTTGGTATTTCTGAAGATTCCTTTTCTCCTTGGTGTTTTATTCAAATACAGTGGTTTTGCATACTCAAATGCCTTCCTTTTGGTCACTCTAGGGCTAACTCCCATCCCAAAGCACTGACAAATATCATTTTTGCTAGAGCAGGGTTTGCTGCAAGAAGAATTTTTGTAATGCAAGATTTCATTACAATAATCTGGAAAAGTTAAAGCCTATCTATTGTTTTTAAAGTGTGTAGAAGATGGATCACCACTGGGTTCCTCAGGTTCCATGAACAAGCTTCCCTGCCAGAGGTTACTTATCTGATATTTAGCATCCTATCACTCTCATTAATTATGGGTACTGCAAAATTCCTCATCTAAATTAACACATTACATGCAATTACTTACCTTCTGGAGTTCTGTATCATAAACTGCACATTTTAAGATGTTTGAGATGATACATAAAATTTTTTATTCTAGTGTTGTAAGTAACATCTCCAGCCACTAAACTGTAAGGTAATTTTAACCCTTATGTTTTTCTGACTCTGTTAATTCCCTTAGTGTCTTCCTATGTTGGTCATATGTCTTCTGTGTCTGATGCTGCTTTGCAAACATACACATTATTGAATTTTGACCAGCAACAGATCACAGGTTTTATCAAATGGCTGCATGAACATGCCTTGATATTTTAAATACAATTTCTATATTGCAGTCTTTGCATTCTTTAGTCTTTGGCATCAGACAAAAAAAGAGGACAGAAGCAGTAAAGATTAGATGTAGATGTTTCTTTGAATATGCTTCATCTCCAAACACCCGTGGAGAGACCCTGAGCAGCCCACCTAGGGCGATACAGCAACAGCCAGAAATGGCACAGAAGCTCTTGCAGATGGCTTGGGAACGGTGTTTGAAGTTGCTCAGGAATGTGCCATGTGTGCAATCTGCCTGACAGATGCTCAGCCACCAACTGTGCCTGATGAGACACTAAAAGGGTAAGGCAGAGAGAGGAGCAGAAATACAAACATGAGGTAGACCTTGTGTACCACCGTTCATGTACCCTTGCCCTGGCACCTCCTGCCACTGCTTGGTCTGGGAGCCACTGGATGAACCAGTGGTGCAACTTCCTGACAGTTTAGAGTTTTTTTAGGTGCTGTTTAGGTTTTTTTTTAGGGTGCTGCACTGCCCAACCCTCCTGCATGAGCAGAGTGTCACCGGGGGCCAACATTACAGGATGGAATACATCCTCCTCCAAGGGACAGGTGTCCCTGATACCTGCTCTTTAGTCCCAGCCACAGGGACAATGTTTCAAGTGGAAGTTTGCACATGGCTGGAGAGAATCCATGGAAATCTTGGTAAATGCTTTGCCATTTTAGGTACAGATGGAGCTTTTGTTAATGCCTTGGGGCTGGGTGATGGAAGCTGAAGAAGATTTACTCTTTCTTTGCTGACAGAACTCTGAAATATTTGGATGAGCATGGAGATTACTTCTATCAAGCTGAAAAGTCCAGGGTTGTGTAATATGTGTGGACTCTTGACACTGAGGAATTATCTGACACTTTAGAGGGGAAGAAATCATATATTCAGGACAGTGCAAATGTTATGCTGAAGACTTGAATTTAAGTGCATGCAACAGTGATAAAATAGCAGAGTCTGTATCAAGATGACAAAATTTCTATGTTTGTAATCTCTGTGTAAAAATGAAAAGGGGTTTCCAGTTTACCTGTGGCCAGAGAGAGAGTTTCACCTGAAAACCATTGTGCCCCTGTTTGCCCACAACAGAGAACAGTGGCACTTGACCTTGGAACCACTATGTTCCCAATTTCTGTGTTTATCAAACATATGCTGGCAGGCCACAATCAGAAAATGTAAAGTCTGACCATGAAAACTGTGCCTCCAAACCAAGCAGGTGCAAACTAGTACCTTTGATTTCTGTGTTTGCTAGAAAGTAACCCAAAGCAGGGGAGCGAACATTGCCGCTAGGGCTCACGCCCTCAGCGCCTGGATGCCCAGCCGGCAGCGCTCACAGTCAGCTCCAGGCGGCTGGGCTGGAGCAGGGCCTGACTCAGGGCCTGACTTCCCCCCTCAGCTGCTCTGCAAAGGGGTGCCCGTGTTCTGGAGGACAGCGAGCTCATGCGGGGTGCACGGTGCCCAGGCAGCTCTGCCCCTTCTCCTGAGCCGCAGACCAGGCCGCGGCTGGGGCTCTGGCCAGGATCGTGGCGGATCTCGGGTGGGTGACAGAGCAGGTCTGAGCAGGCTGCTGGGAATCACTGTAGCACAAATAACACCCCACTACTTCTGCAGTTCCCTATGCCAGCAAATTACAGATAGCAACAGCACAAGAACAAAACAGTATTGCATTCTTTACTGGGTAGCTCTGTGGGACACGGCAGCAGTGCATGGAAGCTCATTCCCCATGTGGGTTAGACTGGGTGCTGTGTGTTCTCAACAAGGTGGAGAAGTTGGGCAGTTTGTGGATCAGACCAGGTTTCTGTGGTGGCCACCACAGCAGCTGTGGTTAATTTTCTCTTCCTATTTTACTCTTCCTAAGTTTACTTGCTCCCCCTCTTCATCTCAGGAGGAAATCATCTTCCTTATTGAAGGCTTCAATGCACCTCTGGGCATTAACATAAATACTTCACAAAGATTTTTGTGGAGAATAATACATATTTTTGTTCAAAAGTGTTTTGTCTACATATTTTTCAATACAGAATCATTGAGACATTTTAAGTTTTAATCACAAAAGTTGGACTTCCACCAAATAATTTGTTATTAATTACCTCTAAGCCTGGGGGATTCAAGTAAAGCACCAGAATAATGTCACCTGTGAGAGAACAGATCATGAAGCTGGGAGAATGAGAATTAGGTCATTAAAGCATGCAAAATACATCAACAGAGAATCATGGAGTTATTAAGGTTGGGAAAGACCTACAAAATCATTGAGTCCAACCATTAACCTAACGCAGACAGGTCCAACACTAAAACCATGTCCCTAAGCACCATATCTCCATGCTTTTTGAACACTTTCAGTGATGATGATTCCACTACTTCCTTGGGCAGCCTGTTCCAGAGCTTGACCACTCTTTCAGTGAAGAAATGATTCCTAATATCCAATGTAAACCTCCTCTGGTGCAACTTGAGGTTGTTTCCTCTTTTCCTGTCAATTATAACGTGGGAGAAGAGACTCACTTTCAACTCATGTTCCCCAATATATAATCCCTCCTCTGAGCAAGAATTTGGACAAGGTGACTGTCATAGGTCCTTCCAAACTTTCAAACATCTTCCCATCCATGTTCTCACTCATAAGAATAAAGGCCATGTGAATGTTATGAGTATCTACAGTACGTGTAGTGTTTGGGAGAGGAAGGCTGAAAATGACCTGTTTGTTAGGAAAGCTGCTGCTTGTGATTCACACAGGAGTTGCAGGGTCCATGCCCTTAAGAAGGCTTAGGAAAAAATGGTGTTCAAGAGGACTTCATCATCTGCACAGCTAAACATTTGTGTTGCAGTTGTTTTATCTCAAAAAGTGGAACTGCCAAGGATTCAGGGAGTCCTAGATGTTCCTCAGCCTCACCTTGTCAATACTTTGAGAAATTGAGCAGGCTCAGTGCTTGGTGTGTCCTCATGGCCAAAGAAGCAGGGCAGAAGCACAGCATGTTGCTCCTCTCCAGTAGCAATCCACAACCAGCTGACCTTGGTGTCAGGTCAGAGCCACTAGGCAGGATCTGCTACTCCTGAAGTGACCATTTGCCCTGCAGCCTATCCCAGCCTGCAGTGAAGAGACTGGGTTTCTGAGGAGCAATAGGCCATGGGATAGGTGCATGACTAAGTCCAGGCATGGAATCTGGCAGCAGGTCAGTCCCTTGTCAGGGTAAGACCCAAGTATGTACCTGTGCCTCTCCTGCACCAGCTCTGCTAGAAGGAAAGACTGTGGCCTGGAGAGAAGATATGGTATATTTAGATCCTAGTTGCAGTGGGACCCCAAAGTGGGTTGTGTGGTGTTCAGCCCCCAGTAAAAAGCATGTTGTTTGAGCTGCCCTGTAGCTTGGAACTGTTTAGGTCTCCAAGTCTGCAAAGAAGAGGTAATGGAGATGGTCATTTATGGCACTGCAAAGTCAGAAGACCGTTCCTCTGCTCAGGTGCAATAGTGCAGTCCAGGAGTGATGAAAGGCTTTAGCTTAGTGGTTCATTCCACAGACCTGACAAGCAGAGTGTTAGTGGGAGGGTCAGTGTGCAGTGTGAGTTAGACCAATCTGGGTATCAGCACAGAGGGGACACCATGTCTCAGCCAGGTGGAGCAGAAGGGCACATGACACTTCACTGCAGGGCAGCTTTGCAAGAGATCCAAAGAACTTTAAAAGTCTGTGAGTCTTTGGATGAGACCCTGGCCATACTGCATGATCATGTCAGAGACTAGATTGACATTGCTGAAAAAAATCTCAGCAACCTATGGCATGTTAGTGAAGTTCACAAAGTAAAAATCACCTCTGCCTTTTTCTCAATGGAAAAAGGAGCTTCAGCTCTGTGTCTGTCTGCACACAGTATTGCAGGAGAGCCTGTCATTACTGCATCCCGCATCCTTCAGCACAAATGCTACCATTTCTTTCTGTATATCACTTGGCAACTGAAAGTGCTACTAAAAACAAAACCCACACACTGTTCAATAATTTAAAATTATAGTGGTTAGACTCAAGTATTTATATAAAATAGGAACCTAATATTTACTTGAAAATATTACACCTTCTTCTAATTTTAGTTGCAAACTAAAGGTACCAAACTTCTGATATCAGCCCTTGCTCTTGATTACTGTTCACTCTTTACTCCTGATGCACACTTTTAACTTTTCAAAAGCAATTTTCCTTAATAATGTTTTTTCTTAAAAATTTCTCTTAAGAAATACTGTGCGCAGCAATATTGTACACCAGTCCAAGAACTTAATTTGATGCAAATTTTTGCAGGTCCATTGACTTCAGCAGATGATTGACACCAGATGGCCCACCATGTTTGATATTATTACATTAAGGTATTAGCATATGTATAATTTTATTTGTACTTTTCTTTATCAGTAGTATTTTCTTTCTGCTTCAGTTGACTTTTTCAACCTTTATTCAGGGGGATGAAATACATTCCATGTGAATAAACATCTTCCATGATGGATAAATATCAAACTGCTACTTACAAATAAAATTTGTTCGGTGCAGGATTTTTTAGTCTTAAGCCATATTTTGAAAATATTTATTATAGGAGGAAGTTGTGATTCTCATTGTGGAGTATTCTTTGTGTAAGAATATTTTGATTTTTCTCTTTTATAAAAAATGTGTCTAATTTAAAATGGACAGCTCTATAGTAAATGCAGGCTATGTAAAATTGTACATTTCTCCTACTTTTCTCTTAGGCATGAGCCCTGTCTTCATTAATATAGTACCATAGCTAGATCATTTTACACTATAGATAAGGAATTCTGTCTCTTATAGTAAAGACAAATACAGTTAAAGTATCTTCATAAATAGCCTACAGCTTTCCAAAGATGGGTTTTGGGTTTGGCATATTGACTTTGCATTTATGAGGCAAATGCAAGGGAACATCTGGTTTGTTTTATCATTAATTCTGGGAATGTCCATTAATAATGCATTTTTGGGAATTGTTTTTGTTATTCCTGGAGAGCACTGTAATGAACAATCCTATGCTTGTTCTGCCGAGAGACACATTGCAGTTTAGAGGTTGTTTTGCAGTCTTAATTATATTAGTTGCTATCTCCCTTTTTACTGCCAGAAAGCGTGTACTATTAAAATGAATTGCTGAGAAAAATGCCAGTGGACATTGTGGAAAACTAAACTTCATAGTAGTTTATCAAAAAGGCATTTTGCCCTTTAATTTTTTTTTTCTTTTTTCAAAATTAAGTTAAAATATTTTTTCTGTAATTCTGGCCTAAATTCATACAACCTTAGGAAAAACACAGTATTAGTAACACACACCTTTTTTTATTTTTTTACAGTTATCAGCCTAGCTATGAAACAATTATGAGTGGATAAATTGTTCTTGGTGTTGGCAGGAAAATGAGACATCAAACACCTCAATGTTCTTCTAGAATTCCTTGTTCTAGTGTAGCCGGATCACATAACTCCATAAATTGAAGCAAGATTTTCCCAGGTCGGTTAGGCAAGCAGTGCTATATGTTGGGTTGTGATTAAAGGCCCCACCTATGGCAGCTTGGCATGGTTAAGGAAAATCTGGAGCTCCCATCAAGTCCCTAGGTGAAGGAGCTATGAGACTCAGCACCGGAAAAACAGGATTGTCTGGTGGTTCAGAGTTCAGTCAGGAAACATAGATTCTATTCCCCATTTTGGTCTGACATCTGATCCATGCAAAGTGTCTCTGTTTATAGCATTGCAATTATGGATCTAGTGTGGAGCTAATTAAAATAATGTGAGAGTCTTTCCCTTAACTTCCTGGGTGTCAGATCCAAGCCCCACACATACTCTGGAGAATTCTAACTTGTGTCTGTTGCGGGGTACACATCAAGCCTTCATCCCCTTTTCTTAATGTTTTCACTCTGTTTATTTACCTGAGAAAGAACCTTTTCCATGGGTATTAGCAGAGCAGCACAGGGCAGGAGTGCAGTGGTGGCCTTTGTAGCACAGATCTGTGTGCACTTGTGGGAAACAACATAAAAACACAGCTGAACTCCAGTGGTCATGCCTGGGCTCAGAAACAGTGTGAAAGCCAGATTCAGACAATTCAAACATAATTTTTTTAAAGAAACAGGGATTGTTTTTTTACACTGTCTGTTTAAACACAGACTCAAATCAACAGCCGTCTCTTCACTGCATTTTTCCTAGAAAAAGGGGAAAGTTTCTCCAACTGTTTATGCATTCTACCAATCCAGCAATGTATATGGCATCACTTACTGTACTGATTTTCTAATTTTCCAGGACCAAGTACAGCAGCCTCTGAAGAGATCAGCAGCTGGGGAGCATTTTGGATATCCAAATTCCTAATGACCCCAGAGTAGTATTCCCAAACCTCTTGGCAGTTCCAAATTTCATGCCAAAAGTTGCAGGCATCTGTCTTACATTTTGAACATTTGTCATCAATATTCTTACTTAATTTAAACATCCGCTTAGGGGGGTCATGTATTCTCAATGAATAAAATTAGCTGCATGTAACCAATCTGTGAATTTGAGTTTAATCATAGAGCTCCGGTCTGGTTACAGATGTCTTTGTCCAAGGACTGTAGTTTACTACTGAATGCCTTCCCCATTAGCTCGGGGATTATCAAGCAAGGATTTATACCGTGTAGAAACCTTTTTCCTTTCTAAATACAAAACTGAATGCTCTCACTGGGGGGATTAAATTCAGACTCTCTGGAAGACCTACAGCTGGTTATCTCCTTTAGCACTGATTTTGCAATCCATACTAAGGTGAGGGACAGGGCATGGTCTCACTGCCTTGGGAAAATAGCAAAGATCAAATTGCCAATGTAAGTCACAATTCAGTTCCTGCTCCCTCTTGCTCCTGGGGGAGAAACAAGGTTGCCACCACCTATTTTTCTGGGTCAGTGTTGGCTGTAGCTTTGAAGTTGCGCAGTCAAAGCTCTCCCACCTCTCACTCCTTTGCTTCAGCCTTTGCTGCTCACTTTGCTTGCGGTGCCCACTCACTGCCCAGTGCAGGTGTAGAAAGGGGGTGAACAGCTGAGCCTATGGAAAAGGACATGGTTTCCCCTCTCTGAAATCATCATTATGATGTGGTAATTCATCACAAATGTCTCAAATCCTTCTTTGTATCATAGATGTTCTGCACAGATGTGAATGCCAGTTTCTCACGTAGCACAATTTAATTAATTCATCCATTTTAGCAGAACTGTAGCTTTGATCTGACAGCAATGGAAGAATACTAGCAGTGAATAAACTACAAACATTTTAATTATTGTTCTTATTTGAATCATATCAACATAACCAAGGACAAAGCAGAAACAAGATCTGAGATTCAGCCTCTGCTCCTGGTCCAAACAGTGTGTATTTCCATGATATTAACTTGCAGCACATGTAAGCCACTGTGAATGATGACCTATTCAGCAGATGAAGCTGCAGTCCATAAGCTAGACTCTCCCACTTAAATCATTACATCTAGAACCAACCCTCCTTAAGGAAGAAATAATTCATATGACTCTTGGAGCTAAAGGGTTTCATTGTGGTCCTCACATCCTCACATCTCCAGAATCCAAGAATAAGTCCACTGAACTAGATGTAAAACCATCTGATTTTAATGTTGAATTAGTAAGAGGTAAGGATAAAATGAGTGCAGGCTTTCTTTCCCCAAAAGACTCTGGATTCCTTGGTCAATACTGTGAAGCAGCACAGCCTCATTTCTCTTCAAGCGTTTAGGAAACATGATGGCCTCAGAGAGTCTGAGCTGCACTGTGAAGGCCAAGTGTACCAAAATGAATCCAAATGACACAGAGAATACTTGCTGTATATTTTTCCTGAACTCTTTCTATATAAAAAGAATACAAAGTTTTCAAAGATTTTTGAAATACTGAAAAGGATGCAAATATGACAATTCCTGTTTTAGGGGTTGCTCTGGATAATTCCTGGTATTAATTATTCTCTTGTGATAATAAATCCTTACAAAAAGTAGAAATCAAGGGTCGTGAAGAATACTTTGATAAGAGATCCATAAGAAACTAAATAATTGATGTGTGTGAGCTGTGTAAAGAACTAATCCTTCTTCAGGTAATCCTGATATGCCTTCCAAGACACATACTCTTCAGCCATTCATTAAGATCACCAGACCAAATTCTTGAAGTTTTTTTACTCATTATGGTGGATTTAATGTAGTTCTGGCTTTTGCACTGTCTGTATTAAAAAAACCCCAAACTCTCAGGAGCTGAACAAAGGTTGCTTGAAGCAGCACACAGGCTCTTGGAGGCCAGAGGAATAGACACTGTATTTCCCTTTACCAGTCACCTCTGTCTGGCAGAAGAGTACAGAGATATAATATCGGATATGGGATGGAAGCCTCCCCTAGAACTCAGCCGGGCCACTGCGGGTAGTTTTAGCTTGTGCATCTTTTCACAGAAACTTTTCTAAGATGAACTGAAACTGTAACTGGGGATGGTACTTTTCTGTACCCTCACAGCCAGAGTGTAGTTTGCAGTGGCTGCTTCAAACCTGAAGCCCAAAATACATTTACTTAAAATTCCACCTGGGAGTCGTTTGAACTTGCCCTGCCAGTAATGCCCAGCAGATATCTGATGTTTTGCACCCAGTATGTGCTGTGTCAGGCTGTGTGACACCTCTCATGCCCCAAACTAGACATTTCCTTTCCTCTCCACGATTCCCTATTGCCTGATCATGTCCTGTTGAAAGCACCTAATGGTCTTCCACCCATGAAATTTTTCCCTCTTGTCCCAGCCACTGCAGCTGGGACATTCCATCTTCTGAGACATGGGGCTCCGGTTTGCACATCTGTGTCTGCTCAACTGGACATAGCCCAAAGTTTCCTACCTCAGAACTGCTTTCTCTGTTTCCACTGTTCCACTTTCTATCAGTTTTCTAAAGAGTCATTAGCATTAAGCTTGGACACTTTTTTATTCCACTAACATTTTCTCTGACAAGATTAAAGCCAGTCCTACTTTTTGACTTCTTTGCCTCCTCCAGCTTCATCACACTATGACTAATACAAGTAACTTAGAATATGGATTTGGTGTTCTCCTTGATTTCAGGGTGAGAACACCAGCATTTCTAGTACTGCATATAAAACACACAGGTCTCCTCTCATTCCTCACTATTTTCCTGGGGAAAGAAAGGAAACATCTCAAGAAGTACTTTTATTCATTCTGTGGCTCCACAGAAGAGATGGATGCCATCCAGTAATTTTTCTGAGGGATGGAAATTAGTTCACACCCTTCTCTTCTACTTTTTCTGTTATATTAAGCATATTGGAGCTGGAATTTGAAGGTTAATGCCAAGACACCTGAAGTGTCTCCATTTGCTGCTGAAGGCAGCATGGATGACAGCTCAGAGAGGGGACACCAGCACCAGGTAGGAGCCACCAACAACACATTCATGCCTGCTGGCCTGGCTCTCTTCCTGCTGTGACAAGGGACACAGGTCACCAGGAGCAAAAGTGACAGTGACCAGGGGCTGCAGTTATCAGGAGTACCAGGGACCATGTTCTGCCCATCAGAACTACATATGTGCAAAGTCATCTGGTTGCCAGAGGGTCAGTAACAGAATCAGCAAGGGCTAGTGTTCTCTTTCCCCCCTCCCAACCTGTTTTACAGGTATGCATTCTGCTCAGACAAGAAGCAGAAACTGGTGAAAGAGCAAGCTAAATCCTCTTCCACATCAGCCTGTTCTGGCCCAGCAGTGTTGAATCAGAGAGAAGCTAAGTAAGAGTTCTCCTAACGTGAGAGAGAGAACTCTGTGAGCCACAGTTTTGCCAGGCCACCAGGGCCAGGGGTAAGGATTCTGGCTATCTACTGTCCCAGGCAGTGCTGCAAGGGGGGGAACAGGATGCCTGTGGCTGGGGCCTAGAGGTTCAGCGAGGATCACTGAGGGCATCTGCAGCAAAGTAAGGTCCCAGAGGCTTGTGAAGGAAAGGAGCTTTGAACATCAGTGGGGATGACATAAGCTAGTATGGCTCAGGAAAGCTCTGGTGCACAGGGCCGGAGAACCTATCCTATCCTTCAAGGACACCAAGGAGCTTTGCTTTAAAGCCTTTTACTTAAGCAGTCTCATCCAGACATTCTGAGTTCTCTCCTATTTACTTATTTTAATGTTTGGCTTGTTTTTTTGTTCTGTAATAAAAGAAAAAAAATGCTTTAGGGATTGGAGGTCTTCTGGTATGCTGGCTTCACAGAAAGTCTGGAGCAGCTTCAATTCAAACCTCTTGCCAGTTCAAGTCCCATCACAGCATTCAATGGGGAATTGAAGAACTGGATATGTTTCTCCTGTCTCCAAGCTTAACTCACTGTCTGGATTTATGTCAGTTCAGAGAAGCTGGGATAATTTAAAAATCTGGAAATTTAAAAAGCTGGAAAATAATGTCAGCTGTTTTAAAAGAGCCCAGTGGACCTGGGGATGAGTACATGTGGGGTTTGTGGTCTGGACAGGGTCTGTATCTGCTCTCTTTAATGTCATTCTCATGGTTGCTAGGACAGTGCCGAACTTCCAGAGACTTTTCAGACAATCTCAGTAGTCTTCCCAGTCCTGCCAAAAACTAGTCTCTGAATTAATATATTTTGCCTCTCAACTGTCAGCTTTCCTTTTAAAGCTCCTAGACAAAAAAATATATCTATTTTTGTTAGCTCTAAATAGTGACTTGGACAAGCAAGTGCAGTTTGGGTGCCCCTGGCTAAAAAATGTATTTGGCTTTGTATGGATTCTGCAATCCTTTAAATCTAATTATTTTTGCACTAATCTCCACTAAAGACCCCATTGCTACAGGACTGTAATAGCATCTCCAAATCATCCTAACACCCCTATATCAAATCCCTAGGTTGTCCTCCAAAGCATGGAATGAGGACAGGCATCCCCAAAGTGGAAAGCGTTGCCCTGGGCAGACCCCTCTCCCTGTGAGTGGAATATGCTCAGGGCAAGGATATGTCGCAGATCACTCACTTCACCCTGTAGTATGAAAACTACTCTCCCTCCTGCAGAGGGCTTCCAGCTCTCCTCTGAAAATCAGTGCCAGCAAGTCATCTGGAAATCAGCCTGTGGTCATTCCCTTCTTTCAAAATACGGCTGCTCCTTTGCCTGGCTCCAGTTGATATTTAAAAGAAGTTGGACTCTACTCTCCTACATCCTGGCAGAGGGATGGCCTTCTCCTGCTGGTGTGATGAGACAATGAAATTATGCTACAGGCAGTCCTGCTCTGCAGGTCCTGTGCACTGTGGACTGAGCAAGTGACCTCACTGCTCCTCAGAAGGACCATGCAGACACCCTCATCATACCTTTTTAGCCATGTGAGAACTGCAGCACATATAAAATGTCAGTGCCTCCTGGGACACGTAGTAGCTGAATTTTAGCTTTGCCTTGGGTATTTAGTCTTCATTTGAAGCAGAATTTGTCCCTCTCTCTGTGTGGTGCTGTTCTCTAAGATTAATTTTAACCTCTCAGGTTGGCTTTTTTTATTTTTTTCTTGTCTGAAACCAGTAGCCATAACTAATCCTTCAGTTTCCGATCTGCAGGAGCTTCATACTCCATGTAAGGTCAATGTGACATATGCCTGCAGTAATAGAAATGCTTTTCACAAAGGCTGCCCTTTTTGATTAACAATTGTAAAGGGTAAGGTGCAAAAGTCTGACATACTATAAAATGATGCAATTTTCGCACTGGGATATCTTGTACAAAACAAGTTGAGTTTCCATGACACAGATTAAGTTGTTAGTAGATAAACTAATGCATTAAGTAAGTGGAAACAGCTAATTGTGTGAGAGGACTGAGGGAAAAGTTGCAGCCAAGGGTTATGTGATTTGTCTTGTCACTCCTCATGTATTTAGTCAGCTACAAGTACTTTAGTTGCCTGTTTGAAGCTGTTTGAGAATAAGCTTTAAGGAGAATCTCCAGAGATGAGGTATGAACAAGGGGAGATGACAGTCAGACGGACAGTGCTCCCTCACTTGAGAGCGGATGGCAGGGGAGAAAACTGCCTTAGAAGGCATCATAGATACGATGCCTTCAGATTCTGATGATATCAGAGATATCATCTCTGCATAATGATAGAGCCCAAAGGGCCTTGTGGAACAGGCCAACATTATGAGAAAAGGATCATGTTCAGTTAAGGGACAGTGCCAGTTAAGTTGAAGACGATGAAGAGCATGAGGTCAGAGGTCTCACCAAGGCAGGTTGTCACAGACAGTTGTTAATGTGGCATCAGGGGCAGCCAGGGCAGATGGTGCACTTGG